ATGCATACTGTATGTATTCAAACACCCCATTCAATGTTTATACATGCTGTATGTATTCAAACACCCCATTCAATATCTATACATGCTGTATGTATTCAAACACCACATTTAATGTCTATACATGCTGTATGTAGTCAAACACCACATTTAATGTCTATACATGCTGTATGTAGTCAAACACCACATTTAATGTCTATACATGCTGTATGTAGCCAAACACCACATTTAATGTCTATACATGCTATATGTAGTCAAACACCACATTTAATGTCTATACATGCTGTATGTAGTCAAACACCCCATTCAATGTCTATACATGCTGTATGTAGGGAAACACTCTATTCAATATCTATACATGCTGTATGTATTCAAACACCCCATTCAATATCTATACATGCTGTATGTATTCAAACACCACATTTAATGTCTATACATGCTGTATGTAGTCAAACACCACATTTAATGTCTATACATGCTGTATGTAGTCAAACACCACATTTAATGTCTATACATGCTGTATGTAGCCAAACACCACATTTAATGTCTATACATGCTATATGTAGTCAAACACCACATTTAATGTCTATACATGCTGTATGTAGTCAAACACCCCATTCAATGTCTATACATGCTGTATGTAGGGAAACACTCTATTCAATATCTATACATGCTGTATGTAGTCAAACACCCCATTCAATGACTATGCATGCTGTATGTAGTCAACACCCTCTTCAATATCTATGCATGCTGTATGTATTCAAACACTCTATTCAATATCTATACATGCTGTATGTATTCAAACACTCTATTCAATATCTATACATGCTGTATGTAGGGAAACACCCCATTCAATGTCTATCACACCCCATTCAATGTATATGCGTGCTGTATGTATTCAAACACCCCATTCAATGTCTATACATGCTGTATGTATAATGAAACACTCTATTCAATGTCTATACATGCTGTATGTAGCCAAACACCCCATTCAATGTCTATACAACATGTATGTAACCAAACACCCCATTCAATGTCTATGCATGCTGTATGTATTCAAACACCCCATTCAATGTCTATACATGCTGTATGTATTCAAACACCACATTCAATGTCTATACATGATGTATGTAGTCAAACACCCCATTCAATGTATATACATGCTGTATGTAGCCAAACACTCTATTCAATATCTATACATGCTGTATGTAGGGAAACACCCCATTCAATGTCTATCACACCCCATTCAATGTATATGCGTGCTGTATGTATTCAAACACCCCATTCAATGTCTATACATGCTGTATGTATAATGAAACACTCTATTCAATGTCTATACATGCTGTATGTAGTCAAACACCACATTCAATGTCTATACATGCTGTATGTATTCAAACACCCTATTCAATATCTATACATGCTGTATGTAGGGAAACACCCCATTCAATGTCTATCACACCCCATTCAATGTATATGCGTGCTGTATGTAGTCAAACACCACATTCAATGTCTATACATGCTGTATGTAACCAAACACCCCATTCAATGTCTATACATGCTGTATGTAGCCAAACACCACATTCAATGTCTATACATGATGTATGTAGTCAAACACCCCATTCAATGTCTATACATGCTGTATGTATTCAAACACCCCATTCAATGTCTATACATGCTGTATGTATTCAAACACCCCATTCAATGTCTATACATGCTGTATGTATCATTGAAAAATGTTTATAGACATTTTAATAGACTGTCCACAGGCAATTTGTGTAGAAAATTTATAGGTTTTCTGCAGAATGCTATAGAAAATCTACATAAATCTTTATAGAGTTCTAAAAACATAAATCCTAAGTATGTTCTCTATTTTCATAGATAATGTATTTGTGACTAGGTAGTAAAATAGTTCAAGTCAGGTTGCAAACTAATTTTGATCATGCTTTTGTTATATAGTGATTGTTGCATCTATGTTTGAAGACAGTGATATTTAAACTTTAAGTTCCCATGGTAACAATAAATATATTATTTTCAGTATTGACTTACTACTGGTGAGTATGTAACATACATATGTCAGTATTGACTTATTAGTGTACTACTGACACAGTGCCCCTTAATCCACAACCAACATACCGATTTGTCAGTGGTGTCATAACCACACTGTGTATTTATAATAAGGCTACCGTCGTCTACAGGACGACAACATGAATAAGGCACTCCACATCTCTCACGACTTGGATTATTTTCTGAACAATTAAAATAGATGTTGTTGTTCCAGTCTATGAACCCATCCGCTCCACCACAACATTTCAACTGAAAAAAATAAATTTAAGCGTTATTATTTGAACCATTATATGTATATCATTTTGCTGTTTCCATGAAATCAACAATTATTTCTTGGACAATTATTTATATATATATCATTTTGCTGTGTCTAATATTATTAAATAGAGAAAATACCAGAAAACATGTTTAGATTAGACGGGATTTACTCTGTCAGACAATAGAACGAGCAGCCTTTTGGCTGAGGTAGCCTTGCTGTTAGCAATGCAGTTTTCAATTACAGAATTGCAGATATCACAAAATGAACAAATCTGATTGAAGTCCACCTACAATACCTGTATGTATAATATCAATAAGAAGTAGAAAATGTCACTTTTTAACAAAAATGGCAAAAATATTCATTTAAATTAGAGAACTGAAGATATCATCAGATATATCAACTGCAAGCAATGATCAGTGGGGTTCCAAATAGCTATGGTTTATAAATATTTGATGAAATAATGAACATATATGGTGACTGGATATCTTGTCAGACAACAAAATTATAGCACCAGTTGCTCGCCCCAACTTAACAATCTTTAGACTACATTAGATTGCTGCATTGCCGTAGAGTATATATGTACCAGGATTCAATGAAATAAGATGATGAGTACTTGAGATACTGATAGAAAAGCTGAAAACTGACCAATTATTATGTCTTAGAGCATCCACATACCAAGTGTCATTGAAATGTAAAGATTAGCACTTCAAATATCAGCATAAAAGCTGAAAACTGACTAATCATTATGCAAATTAGTTAATTAATATGCATGGAGTTTAAACCAAAACATAATTAAATCTGTTCATTAGCCTAGAGCATCTCTATTTATCAAGTTTCATAAAAAACAAATGAGTATTTCTTTAGGTATCAGTGGAAAAGTCGTAGAACAGCTAAAAATTAGCTAATTATCATGCAAATTAGGTAATTAATATGAACGGGTTTAAACCCAAACCTAATTAAATATGTGCATTAGCCCTGAGCATCTATGCATCAAGTTTTATAAAAAAACAAATTATTCTTGAGATATCAGTGGAACACACATACACACACATGCTTCACACATGGGAGTCAAAAAGTAAAAAGTTGACACAGACAACACCAATGACAAATTCAACAGTGAAGCTAAAAATGACAGACATGTTTGATTTTGATGAATTTTTAACACTAAATAAAAATATATGTGTATTCCAAGAGGTGTGATGCATGCAATAAATCAAAACATGTCAGATAATATTCCAAAAGACCATAAATCAGGAAAAAATGTATGTACCAAGTTTCAAAGCAATCTGCTCATTAGCTGACAGAGATACTAAAATACACCATCAATACTGCATAGATCCACTACAATGTATCAATACTGCATATATCTACTACAGCTGCATCAATACTGCATAGATCCACTACAATGTATCAATACTGCATAGATCTACTACAGCTGCATCAATACTGCATAGAACCACTACAGCTGCATCAATACTGCATGAT